TTTCAGCAAAGTGGAAATCAATCTTTAAAGCCAATCAGGCACTCAAACACATTAGTTTATGGACTTTGATTCAGAGAAGGCTCTCTACATATGACAGGAGACATACACCTAATGTTGACTGAAGGAAGCAGAGGTACATACTACATTTTTATCTGGGGCTGCAATGCATTAAGGAAAGATTAATATTTTGGAGGATGCATTGTGAATGATATCCTGAAAAAAAAGTCTGAATGTAAGTGAAAAAAATTAACTCATACTAACCTGCCATTTTCTAACTTAATGCATGGATTTCCATCCCCCCCCCAAGCTGCTTTCTATTTACATCAATGTAAATAGAAATGTAGATTCACAGTTATGCTACTGTGAATAAGAACATGATTTGCTTTTCGGTGTACTTGCAGCAACAGTTATTTGCCCCAGCATCTGAAGTACAGTTACACTGAGAACCCCAGGTAGATCTATATAATGAGATGAACATGGCCCCTGGAAAAATGCTCAAAAGAAGAAGTAATGCTGTCCCCCAGTTCTGTGTTCCCTCTGGTCCTCAAATTGAGAGAGAGTGATTGAGAGAGGAATATACAAAAAATGGTTCCTGAAGCCAGAGACGCCCTGGAGAATGAGGGGGGGCAAATCTGGCAGGGAAATGCAGATTATGAAAACCTTTTCTGTATTCTCGTCAATGGTTTATAAAAAAAACCAGATGTCTTCCTCAATTTTCTTTCTATTACATGTGCCAAAAGTACATTGATATAAAGTACTCTTTTATGCAACCTGTAGACATGAATACTATCTGTAGCAATGAAAATGTACCGATAGCACCCATTTCCTCTGTCATCAAAAGCCTATGTCTGAGATAGCCACCCTTAATACCCTCTGTACGCAATGAAAAGAAAGAGGTACTTTTACATCTCACTTTATCCCACTTGTTTTAGACAGCTGCTTTAAGAAGAGGCGATTAGGTCCCTGAAAGTGCTTATTTCTTTCCAGTGGTTGTAAAGAAAATCTAAGCAACTACTGTAGGCATCTCAATTTGATCAGATGAATAGCAATCCAGAGAAACGTTCACCTGCACAGGGAGGAACAGAAATCAGCATCATAACTCTGGAAAGAAAGTAATCTCGGTACTGCAAGTGCAGCCAGCAGTAAGTATGCTACAGGTACTCATAGGTCATTAAAAAGCAAGTACTGGCCACAATAAAGTGACAATTTTAAAAAAACAACCCAACATTAAGAATGGGCAGAAATTGCTAAAGTACAAGTATTTGGCCACGGATATTTCATGTCTAGCAAAAGTAGGTAGTGCGGATGCAGCTCCATTAACTCATTTGGATCTCCTGATGATTCATACCAGAGTTCAGGAGGAAAAGAAGATATTCAGCAGTTTTTGAGTCGGTCTTAGACAGAGGAGCCAACATGACTCAGGCCTGTTATATAAGTAAATCTTTCCATAACAGTGAATATTATTTTGTAGTCTTTTAATATTCTGTGTGGGTGTTTATAAAGGGATGGGTTACTTTTAGATATGACAATGTCCACATGCACATGTACATGAAAAACAGAGAAAGAATAGAACATGAGTCTAAAAATGAAATATTACTCCATGGCAATGATATTTGTAGCAGGTGAAGGACAGAACACAAGATTGCTATTAAATAAATCATAATTTATTACACGTGCCTGTATTCAGATGCCCAGTTAAGTACCTAATTACATGAAAAATGCAATTGCCGTGTAAAGTGATGTTAATTTTCAAGCACACCTGCTGAGCTTAGGGTTGTCATTCAGGTACCTGCTCAGTTGCATGCTGTTGTGCACCACCTGCGGAAAATATTTGTGTGTCTGTCAGGAGGCTGGCCCAGGTCATTAGTGAGGAAAACCACGGCTTTGCAGGTTCAGCGGGCAGTCCCATGGTCTATCCAACATAGCTGACAAATTTCATTACGATTCCTAACCATAGCTCTGTCAGTGCAGCTTTTTTTGTTTTGATGAGGGGATGTGCAGGGAGGGCCCTTTCTCTGCTCAGACTGTAGATGCTTTTTATTTCTTGGATTTCATCTCCAGTTGATAAGTCCTCTGCTGTGTTTACCTATATTTTTTTTATTCTTTTCTCTACTTCCTTGACACATGCTGTATGCCAATAGAGAGCAAAAAATACTGCTAGAACTTCTATTCTTAGTGTTGGTCCATTTGCTTTGTTGATTATCATCCTGACTGTCAAAGAAGTGAAATGGCATTGCTTTGCAGTACCTGCACTCCATAGTACTTTCACATTGTCCTTTGTTTCCTTGACAGGTAGAAACTGTTTCATGAATGCTTTATGTGTGATGTCGAACAACTCACGGTGACAGCTAAAACATAGCAAGCGGCACCAAAGGACATTTCTCAAATGTGTTTCTTTGCCCTTTCTTCACATTGAAGATGTTAATAAGACTCAAGGCTACCTATGTTTTTCTATGGAGGATAGGATCTTTATTGCTAAAATATCTTTACACTCTTGTAAATATTACTTAGGTGACAGAAAGTATGGTTTTGTTCTGGGAAGGTTCTCTGGTTTCTTTTACAGCTTTGGCTTTAACATATTATTATTTTAAAAGCTTCTTTCTTGGACCAAAAGTAATATTGTCTTACGTATTCATCCATTTTACTGTAAATTGCAGGGAATGAGGTTGAGGGAATGGAGCGCTGCATAATTGGCCTGGCAAGGGGCAAGTGAACAGTGAGGGGGGGCATGTAAGGGGACAGGAAAAAGCTAAAAATGTGGTAGAGCAACCATTTATTTCCAAGGAACTGAAGCCTAAGAGCTTTAAAGAGGGCTTTGCAGCTGTCTTGTTTCACGGTCTGTTTGGGTGAAGTACTAGATGTTGGAGCTGAAAGAAACTTTCCGGAGAAACATACAGATTTGACAGACTAAATATTTCTGATAAATACAGGTAAACTTTCAACAGGCACCAGGTGGCAGGACAGTTCTTGCTGGTTGGAGCTGCACCAGTTCCCTGAGCAACTGCCTCTCTGGCCTTCTCCTCATCCAAGGGAGTTTGCCTGTGTAGAGACGTCAGGGTGGTTGAGAGGCAGTTCTTAAGCTCCCTGAGCAGCTGCTTCATGAGCAGCCCAACTCTCCCTACCTCCAGATCAGTGCTCAGAGGCACGTGTCTTGGGGTCCAGAAGGCTGAGAGCAAACAAGAAACTTCTGCTCTTACTCTCCCAGCATTTATTTATTTTTCTTTCACAGATTTTATCTGGCTTTTTAAAAAATCCTATACCTGAAGGACAGCTGATGTGACAGTGGTGGGAGATACCCACTAGAGCTTTCCAGCACTCTTCACAGAACATAATCACAGACCCTGTATGGGCTGTTTCCACCAAGGGTTCCTCCATGTCTCTCCGTCATATTATGTCATTGCCACTAGCTGGATGACTTCATTTTAGCTGGAGAAAAAAGAAGCTGCCATCCTTTAGATTGTATAAAGCAACCACACTGTGGTTTTCACCTATTCGCTTTGTCTTCATCTATTGACAAAAGCTAGACCTCTCTCCAGAAAACAGTTCTCTCTCACTCATTCATCATTGTCTTGACCCCTACAAGTTGAGGACTCTCTGCCTTCAGCCCTGTTTCTCAAACGCAGATGCCTGTTGGCCTGTGGAGAGCTCTGTGCCATGGCTAGACTGCTTCACATACCTGAGCTGCAGAAAGCGATATTTGCTGCTACAATGCTGGGTCAGCCTCCAATTTATCCTGCTGACGCATGTTGCACTTTTGGCCATGCTAGAGGGAAACAACAGCATGAGATGATGGCAGTGATTAGGATGTTGATCTTTAGGTACTGCTGGACAGGCAAGTAGGCATAGATGCTGGCAGCTGAGGAGCAGTTTAAAAATGACTGTGATACCAAAGCCTTTCTTCAGTCTAGCTTGCAAAAACAGCTCTCTCGGCTCCATGGAAAATTTAGCATTTCCTGGTGTTGATACTATAGTTCTGAATTTCACGAAGAGCACAGGGCCACCCCTCCAGACCAAGGAGCAAGTGGATGCAGAGGTTTAGTTCTCAGTCCTGGTCCTCAAGGTTTCCAGTTTGGTCATCTGGCTGAATGCACCAGAGCTCCCTTCTGGTTTGTAAACCTGCCTTCCCCAAACACCACAGCACTGGAGAGGTGGTGAAGGGAGGAAGGCATTTCTGCTATGGAGCGTGGAAGCATGGACCTGAACTGGGAAGTTGTAAGGTTGGACATGACCTGCTGAGTCCTAGAGACCACAGCGAACTCAAAGGCAAGATAGCACCACTTTTTTTGCAGAGGATGTTTTTGACACTTTTTGGTTTGTGTCTTCTTCTCCTTCACTTTTCCTTATACTATCAGCAGTGCAAAACCAGGTAATAAAAAAATATAATAAAGGCAAAGAATTTTGCTCTCTCCAACAGGAATTACCTGATTTATAGTTGTTCAAGGAGATTAAAAAAAAAAGTGAAAATAACCATAAAAGAGTTTCCTGACAAATATTTCAGACAGTAGTTCTCTCCTTTGAAAAACAAATGCAGTCTTAAAAAGCTACAAAACCAACACAGAAGCACGCTTACATCCATGCATACATGTGCAAGTATAGAGATCTATAAAATATATTACACACAGGAGCTCAGCTTTATTCCAGTATATGCCTATAGATTAAATTCCAATTGACTGAGTTAAACAGGAAAATTTTGACTACATTAACTGCAGTCTAGTTTTGTGTATGTATTTGTACACAACAGAAGATTCGTGTATTCATAAAAAACTAAAAAGCTATCACTCATATGTAGGTATATATCAGCTAAATAGCAATGGCCCAATCATGTTGTTTTGTTAGGCAAAAATAGCATTTTCAATCTCTTCTTAGGATGATAACATTTTAAGTATATTTTTACTCTCCATTTACATACTAACTTCACCAAAAGCAAATAAATTGCATAAGAGGTAATGCATCTGCTGTGTACATATTTAATCCCTTCTCTTTTTGTTCTTTTCTCACAGAGATTGAAAGATCTAAAACAAAGGGAATTTGCTCGAAATGTGGCTTCAAAGTCATGGAAAGATGAGAAGAAACAGGAAAAAGCACTCAAGCGCCTCCACCAGCTCGCAGAGTTACGGAAGCAGTCAGAATGGCAAGTATTTAAAATTTATATTACATTTTAATGCCTTCTTTCCTCAGCCCCAGAAGAAATCTCCATATTTTTACTCCTACACTCTGTAATGTCCAGAGATTGTGTATACTGTAACCTGTTTTCAGCTGTCCCCAACTCCAAATGTTCCTGTTCTGCAAACCATAAAATTGAAAGCCCCTGAATTAATTAATTGCTATTTGAAGGTTTGTGTTTTTCTCTCCTGTAGCTAGTTAATCTCCTCGCTTCTGAACTGAGTGGTTTGAAGATGGTTTTATATCATCACCATTTTACCTTATTCAAACTGACCTGAATAGATTAGTATAACTGTCTTATCATTTGATAGTAAGTGAACAGGAGAGGAAAAACACCTTTTAGAGCATCTGTACTTAGTCTGTGAATCATTTTCACTACTTTTAGTATACTGAGATTATTCTCACAGTTTCTCTGTAGAGTAATGGAAGTATCATTATGTGAATGAAAAACAAGTAATTAACTGAGTTAAGTTTGCCCAATACTGTTAGCTCTATTGATGAATATCAAGATACAGTACAAAGTTTACACTAATAAACCTTTACATTTGAGAAATCTCCTTTGTTTAATGACACTGGATGCTTCAGCAGAATAGATTGCTACCAGACCAATTGTTTATGTTAATCTATGACCATAATGAGTTAAGCAGATAATTAAACTGGCATTCTTTTAAATTCATATCAAGCTTACTGTACCCTGGAAATAATAACATTCAAAGCTTATTGTACACTCATTTTGGCCTGTGTAATTGCTTTTGAGTAATCTGCTGAAATATAACAGTTTAGTGCTAATGTATCACTTTTATGGTTACAACTCCATTTTCATACAAATCTATTGAAAGAAATGTAACTGCCTGTGGGAAGATGCCTTTATGCCCAAGCACTTGAAGATGTAGTCTCAGATAGACCGATAAGCGTGGTGATAATAGGAAAGCCAGAGTGAGACTGGGAGGGGAAAAGCAGGTTTGCTTTTAGAAAGAGCCAGGAGTCCATAATCCTTTGCAAAGAGTCTGGAAAGACAGTGCTTGCTGTTCCTGTTTGTAATGACTAATAGGTTCAGGGGTGGCTGAGAACCGTGATCTTGGTGGAGGGGGTGCATTCCCAGTTGCTCAGGCAAGACAGAAAGTCAGCCTTTCTAACCAAAAGTCTACACACACACACACACAATTGTTATTGTCCCTGAGTACTGTGTCTCAGGTTCCAACAGAGTTCCTTACAACAAGCTAATACAATTTGACAACAAAATTACTGTTAATCTTGTGTACAGAAAAACTGAAAATACAGCTTTATTTTGCTGTTCCAAGGAGACTTTGCAAAGGACCTCTTTACACACCTTCTCCAAGAGATAATTCCTTCTTGATGTACAAATAGGGGTGAATTTGTATCTCCTGATGCCAGATTTGTGGCAAATGCAAATATATTCTCAGAAATGCATACTTATTCTCATACTCCAAGCTGACCCTACTCCAGGGAGTCTTTATGTCGTTCCCACTACTGAAGATCAATGCATTTTTATAGCATTTATAAAGCATGCTAGCCTATTTATAGATAGCTGTTATGCAGATCTGGCAGTCATAATTTACTTACATTCAATTAAAATATTTTCTAATTTTTAATCAAACTCTTTACTGAAGCTGGTTCCAAAATTTTTTCATGTAAGTGTACTGTAGTACTGCATTGATAGCAAATGTAAATAATTGGTCTAATGAAAGACATGTTTAAAATATTACTTGGAATAACATTTCTGTGGTGGCTATATATGACTCATCTCAAATGGAAAATGACAACAGTCATCCCAATCTCAGTTAATTATATATTGCAAGAAATGTTTGTTAAGGCCTTCTTAGAATAAGTGCTTTTTTTTTTTAAAGTACAAGAAAACTAAACCACAGATTTAAAATCTGAGAGGTTTTGGGAAGACGAAAAATGTAATTAATGAAAGTAGACTACAGAAAGAGAAATATGGCAAAGTAAGTCAAATGGTGATTGATAATGAGACCGCTAAAGTTGCCATTAATATTGGTGGAAATCCATCTTGTGTCCTTTTCCCCACCAATGTTTGGTGATAGTTTTAGCATTAATTTCTCTGAATATTTCACAGAGTAATTTACTGTGGAAAAATATAAAGATAAAATAAAAATCTACTCTTTAAAAAATCATACATATACCCCTCCAAGCAAGCAGAATACTGCCTTTTTCTCTTGTAGAGTTTGATTCTGCAGATGCTCCAGGTGGAATTGTCTCATTTTGAACAAGGCACAATTTCCTTTGCAATGGCCTCTCAGAAAACCAAGACTTACCACAGACCAGATTCTCACTGATATAAATTCGGAGTAAAGTTTATTCTGGATGTACTGGGCATAACTCTGAAAAAGAACATTCATGTGTTGACTTCAAATCATATAATTTCCTGTATGTAAAGACTGTCTTGCCCATTTAGAAGCCCAAGCTCAGGGCTAGACTGCACATTTACCCTTCAGAAACTTTAGAAACACTGTTTTCCCTTGTAACAGCATGAGTGACACGCTTCTTTACCAGACAGACATTGTCAAATGCGAGTTCTCTCTTAACTTGGTTACTTAATACAGCTTTTTTTTTTATTTATTACATTACAGCATCACTGGGAGTGGACCATTGCTTAAAGCCCCCAGATTAGTCATGGAAAAGCAGCAATCGCCAAATAGCATTTTCCTATACAAGGGCGGCAAGTTCACAGCCAGTTCTCAAAGAGCTGCCATGAGAGAAGGACAACATTTCTCCAGCAGCATACTAGAGAAACAGCAGCTCATCATAAGCAGGCACCAGCCCCCCAGTGAAAGACCCCATGCACTTGGAAATCACGTCTCACAAGTGTTCCCAGATAGCACCAATGCTTCTCAAAGGGCGGGAGTGTCTTTCTCGTTCTCTAAAAAAGTCCCCTTGAAGCTCGAGTCCTCTGCATCAGTCTTCAGTGAGAACTCTGAAGAAGGAAATGATTGTAGTGAATCCCCCAACCATAAAACAAAGCAAGCTCTTGAGGGCTGTCGTTCTGGCACATTTTTGGAAGAGGATGTGAAAGCAAGCTTGGATAAAGGGCCACCTATTACACGAGACCAAATGGGTTTGGATAACAGTGCATCAAGTCATGTAGCCGCAAAACCTAAAATGCTAAAGGAAAAGGATAAAAGCAGTGATAGAGAATTAGAAGAAAAGGTCAGTGCTCATCCTTCATTTTGCAAAGTCAAAATGCAGCTTTCAAATTTGGATTTTTCTGGTTCACTTAGAGAAACAGAGCAAGAGAGCAAATTGAATGATTTTGAGCAATTGTTGGAAACTCTCATTTCACCTTCATACCAAGCTAGCAATTTTTGTACACAGCCGAACACCTATAAGCACAGCAATGCCCACCTGCCTGACCAGTTACCTGAGCTCCCACAACAGCCAGAACCTCAGCTGGCATGCGCAAGCAACATTACTGATGGTCCTGGGGTGGTAAAAAGAGAAAGATCTTTGGAGAGTTCAGAAACCACAAATGAGAATATGGAAACACTTCCAAGGGAGACCGTGGTTAAAGAGGTTAAGCCCCAGGCATTGCCTTTCCTCCATGTAGTGAGCAAAGATGGCACCACTGCTCTGCAGTGGCCCACAGAATTACTTTTGTTTACAAAAACTGAGCCCTGTATTTCATATGGCTGTAATCCATTGTATTTTGACTTCAGACTCTCTTTAAATCACAGAGATGGTAAACAGCATGAAACAAACAAAGAAAGCTGTAAAGAGCACTCTATAAATAAGACTGCAGATGAAAATGAAGCCTCAGGTTTAATAAAACACAAGCAAATGTCAAATGAACAAGATAATCAGTTGTTGAAACCAAAGAAGATGAAAGGTTCCCTAAATCCAAGAAAGGCCAAGCAGAAAGCTGAGTCAGACATAGGGAAAGAAATGAATGAAAATGGTCAAAAATACTTTGCAGAGTATTTGAATGAAAATATACCCAAAGTGCCTGCTTACCTTGATGTCTCACAAAAGGGTTATGTGACAGAAAAAAGTCTTCATACAACAACACTGAGAAGATCTTTACAGCATCATTTTCATAGCTGTGAAAGAAAAAACCAGAACATTAGAAATGAAAGCATTTCCTTTTCTGCTTTTATGTCTAGGATTAAAAAGTCTAAAGCTGCAAAATGTCATTTAATTTATTCTGAGGAAAAACGTGAAAACCAAAATGACTGCAGATCCGTTCAAGATGTGGCCAGCTGCAGCAGTGACATAAGTGACAGTGCAAAAGACTCTAGTGGAAGTTTCCTTAGTTATAAATCCAGTTCAAACAGCAGGTATTCAGAAAATGAAGGATGTGGAAGTTACACAAGATGCTGGAGATTCCCATCTCCTCAAAAGTCCTCCTCTGACAGACATTCCAGCTACTCTGACACTTCGGTTAGTAGTACAGGTAGCTACATGAGCTACATGAGTCCCACATCAAATAATCACAGCAGAAATAATTTGCTTTGTTGTTGTAAAAGAAAAAGCAAAACAGCTGAAAGGCACAAATGTAAACACAGAAAGCACAAGTGTATTTTCACTTCTGATGATACAGATGAGGATTATCTTTGTCGTAGCAGAAGTCACAGAACTAGAAACTGTACACAGAGGGGCATAATTAAATATCGAAGATGTTCAAGACATAAAGTTTTACAGCACAGAGACAGATCTAAACACAGCAGATGTAGACACCAGCATTTTGGCAAAGTGCATAGTAGAAGTAGAAGCTACCATAGCTCCAAAAGTTGTTCCACCAGAGATTCAAGAAGCAGCGAAAGATCATCTAGTAGCAGAATATCAAGAGGTAGTAGTTCAGGATCCTTCTCAAAAGACACTGACAACTGTGACAACAAAACAAAAAAGGACACAGAAAGAGGTTCTAACACCAAACTGGGAAAAGCTGAAACTGCACATTACGACTCTCCGAATGTGAATGGTCAGTCAAAAAACTTTGCCACCTGCTCTTCTGAAACCCTGGCAAAAGACATATATGGAAAAAGAAAGTCACTAACGGCCAAGTTACTTTTAGAAAGAGTGCAGTCCAAGAAAACCCAGGAACAAACACATGATTCAGAGAGATTTTCAAACACTTGTGGGGTAGAATTAAAGGATCACTCACAAAGTCACTTTGCTTTTCAGTTTTCATCATCGGTAGATGACATTGCAATGTTACCTTTGCCAGAGAAACTGCTAAGCATAAGTAAAAATGACACAGGGCATAATGAAATCAGTTCGTTGGAAACCAGTGTGAAGAAAAACAACTTTGAAGCGTCAGACATAACCAATGTTGCTCTTTCAACAGGCACTGATTATGATCATTGTCTTTTTAAAGACATCATTCAAATAGGAACAGGCTATCAGAGCCCGAGTGTAAAAAGGAACACAGCAATAAAGGAACAATCCGATCTCTTCATTAGTGAAGTGCAACCCTTTATACAAAGCTGTGATCCAGTACCAAATGATTTCCCTGGTGCTTTTCCCTCTAATAGATATTCTGTTGTTGCTAATTCAACAGAGACCAAAGAAGAACTACATGATGTAAACATGGACTCGAACCGGGCAGAAAGCAGTTCAGACTCTCTTTGTGACAATGCTATGCAGAAGTATGATAACACAGTAAATGACCCAGAAGTGTACAGTAAATCCACCTCCCCTGCTTTAACGCAGCAGCCTATCACATTTTCACCAGAGGAAGTAGACAAATACAGGTTGCTGCAGCTGCAAGCCCAGCAGCATATGCAGAAACAACTTCGGGCAAAACACCTGAAAGTTTTGCCTGCCCCAGGACCAGCTGCCTTCTCTGCAACACCAGCAGTTCCTGCCCTCCCTGTTCAGCAGCATGCTACTGTCACCACCATCCACCACACGCTGCTGCAACGCTTTGCTGTGTCGGCATCTGTACATCCCCATGGCAGCCATCTCTCCCTGGCACACCTCCACCCTCTCTCTCAGGCACATTTTGCTCCCATATCACTTTCCCCACTAGCGCCAGCCCTCATTCCCACCCACCCTGCTCTGCTGACAGGACACCCATTGCACTTGGTCTCCACCACCCCTCTCCACCCTTCCCCACTGACCTTCCCCACACTACCACACACTGCATATATCCCAGCTTTATTTACACCACACCTGAATGCAGCCACGCCTTCTGTTATACATCCAAATCCCTTAGTTCATCCATTATTCCAAGGACAAGAGCCCCATCACCATTCTTGCTCTAGCCAGACCCAACAGTTACCGACAATAAAAGAAGTTTTCAGTGTTTCTAGCTATTTAAACTAGCCCAAAAGATTATACCATGGCTCCAAAACCAAATCTGAATAAAATTCAGTGTTCAATCATGTCTGAGGGGAAATCTACTGTTTTGCTGAGAGCACAACGGCAAGTATTTTAAAGTCCACATTCTGGCTGACAGCATATGAAAGTTGATTTAGGTCTCGTATCACTGAGTAAAAGCTGTTTTAAAACCTTTTATGATACTATCACAAGGAGGACAGGGTCCAGCTAGTGTCATTCTACAGAAGGTTTGGAAAGAACAGCCTGAAGTGAAGTCTGTGACTGTCAGTAGGAATAGGACCACAGCACCCAGACATAACATGACCAAGAATGTCAACACTGATGAGTGATTTAAAGTAGGGCAATTTAAGGTAGAGCAATCTTGACATACATCAAAGGTTTGCTTTTCTGAGTATGTATATGTAACGGCATAGTACTTGGTCTGATTAAGGTAGTTTAGACTGAGCAAAAGAGAAGGTATCTGGGACCACAAGTCCCTGGTTCTGTCTCCTGGCCAAAATAAATTGGGGAGCCTCAGAGTGAAGGGTGATGAATTAACACTGGAAGAAGAAGGTTACGACAACATCTCAAAGGTACTTTAGTGATTTTATCCCTGGGATATGTTGCTTGGTCAGTGTAAAGGGACTGCAGTCCAGCCCCAGGTACATAACAAAAACTTCCCTTAGGGTCGGGGGCTCTGTGCTGGCGCAAGCAGGCTGCTACTTTTCTCCCTGAGCCAAGCATCCAAGAAGGCAAGGGAAAGAAGGGGATGAAGCCAAGTTCTTTGGCATTGCCTGCCTGTGGCTGTAGGATAGGCTATGTCAGGGGTGGGCTGCAGCAGCCCAGAGTTGCGAGGCAGCTAGTGCTGGCCTTGAACCTCAGAGGTCCTTGGCCAAGACTGCAACACTTCTTTCCTACCAAACAGAGCTCTGACATGTGGGAGAGTCTTGCCCAAAGAATGTGTAAATATGTTTCATCCCTTTCACAAACACAATAAATATTTGCTGGTCCTATAAAATCATGCTGATATTCATAGAAATGCAGAAGTAAAATTCTGAGAGGAAACTGGCTCTCCAGGTAAAGTCTCAGACAACCATGCCACAGTCCTCAGCATTTCAAGGTATATTGAATCTAAACAAATAAGTCTAGATTCTCGCATGGTTTCCCAAACTCTCAACATACAAATTGAAGTTCTGAATCTGCAATGTTCAAATGCATGTATCCAACCTTCAGGGTAATGCGTGGTTGAAATTGCTAGTAATAACTGTGTATTTGGAAATAGGTGAGGGTTTCAGCATCTCTTTGAATGGCACATTTTGACTATTTTTATAATGTTTCTAACTCAACATGGGATATTTAGCATGAAATTAAGTTCATAATTGTGGTTAGACTGCAGGCATGCTTTTCCCAATATAATTGGACAGTGAAGTGTCCGATGGACAGAACCTGTTTGTTTGGATTAGAAACATTTGAAATAATTTAAATTAATTTTCAGTAATGTAGTGCACAATTAATAATGTATCTTTCAGAACTGATATAAAACACGTTAAAAAAATTTTGGAGGATTTTATTCCATTATATTCGGCTATCTGGAGAAACTGAGAAATCTAATTGAAATTGAGTATTTAAAATACAACTTAGGACCAATTTTTTAACTTAGTTTTACTCAAACCATTGCAATAAAATGGAATTGTTTGAATTTCTAAAAGCAGCTGCTTCAGCATAAACTGGTATTATGCCAAACTTTTCAAATGGCTTTACAAGTTCTGACTGCTTGTTTTGCAGTTGATTTTCAAAGTTAATATTTCTTTGGATTCTTAACATTTTAGCCATCAAATAAAAGCTGTCAGGAAAAAATCTGGAGACTGAGCAGAAGCAAAACATTTTTGTATTGAAAAAGGTTGGTGAAACAAGCACCCTCAAATATTTTTTGGTTGGATTCCCAGCTGATTTATTAATTTCATTAACAAAATGGATTCATACCATTTTGGAGTTACTTATCTTTATGGTTTAATTTTCTCATTTTAATTGTAGGGAACTTCTTTAATTGAAATTATTGCATCAGAATTAAGGATGTCAGAAATTTTCTTTGGGAAAGATGTTAAAAATAAATATTTCCACAGTTTTAAAATTCTTCCTTTCATTTTTGGCTGAAAATCTTCCCAAAATTAGTGGATTCATACCATTTTGGAGTTACTTATCTTTATGGTTTAATTTTCTCATTTTAATTGTAGGGAACTTCTTTAATTGAAATTATTGCATCAGAATTAAGGATGTCAGAAATTTTCTTTGGGAAAGATGTTAAAAATAAATATTTCCACAGTTTTAAAATTCTTCCTTTCATTTTTGGCTGAAAATCTTCCCAAAATTAGCTGAGTGAAAATCTTCCCAAAAATAGATCTGAATTTACATATAATTTCTATACTTCTGAAAATTTATTTTCTCAGAATCAAACATATTTCACTGAATGTGACTTAACATCTCTGAAAATTAGTACTTGCTTGCTTGGATGGAGATCCCTCACTCAGTGGACCACTTGGAAACATTAGTTATAATTCTGTAGGAACACTCTGAATTGGGCATTTTAAAGGAGCAGGTCAACCTGTGCCCTAGAAGAGGCTGACTGAGCTGCACAGCCACTACCACCAGTTCAGGGTTAATACCAGCCTAAAAGATGTATTTCCAGCCCTACAAACTTTTAAATTGATGGGCCTAGTTCCCTTCCTATTCAAGAAAAAACAGCTGTTCTCATTGTATGTAAGAGTTCATTTGAATCCTAAGTAGATAACACCGAGAAAAAGGTGGAACAGAAGAAATGAAAGGCTAATCTCATTTTTAATGTATACACACACATTTTGTATCCTTGCTTCTTACAGGCAATGTTACTATTGTAGAAATTCTTATGGCAAGAAACCTGGACAATTGAAACTTAGCAACATCCTACTACATATATCATTTATGGAAAAGAGTTACATACGTTTCCCTTAATGTATGCACAATACAACGGGATTCTAGGAAGGAACCAAATCATAGGATGTCCATGCATCATTGTATATGCCAACAAGGATGATCTGGTAAGGCAAATGAATAGACAATAAAGATTAAATTTAATTCTTGGAGCAATGGGAATGAGGATTTTGAGAGATATTGATGGAAAAAAGAAAGATCAAGAAGGAACAGAAACAGCACAATAGCAAAACAGCAATCATTGACTACCAACAAAGGGAATGTCCAATATCATTCTTAGTACACAGAAGGGATTTTCTTGGAGAACTGGGTTTCACCAGTAATGTACTTTAAATATGTATCATTATTATTATTAAAAGCATAATTGAGCCTGATGTATGGAGCCGTGCTACAATTTTGATTTTATTTAGACTGATTTTTAGAAGAGTTACAGTATCCTGGTGGCAGCGATATACACACTCCAAGTTAATCTATTTTACCTTGGTTGTATATTCTTGATATGTAATCCAAGGAAACAGGTCCCCACACTAATTTTTTTTTTTTGGTAACTGAGGCACTTCTGGAATACATTTAACATGTGTATTTGTTGTGCAGATTTGCATAAAAATGCCATTTGACCAGATTGATTTTAAAAGTGCTAAGTTTATATTTAAGACTGGATAATACTCTGGCTAGTATAATATGTAAACTAGTAATTTTGTTTTGTATTCTATATATAAAGTGTTTTATATTATACAGTAGCTAAGTGAATTGCACTATTGTACATGCAATGCGGCTTTTTTTTTAGGTTATTCAAGGAATTCCTGGGAATGTAGTTTAATGCAATAATATTTTTTTTCAATAAAAAGGCTTAGTGGTATAAAGAGTGTCAGTCATGTATTTTTAATGTAAAGCATACCAAAAGGCAGCAACATAATAAAATGCAGAATGATGCAAACATATTCTGTATTTTAATCTGCATAACTGAAATGCATTTAATTCATCCCTGTGGCTATAATCCTGAAATTTCTTAGAATGTTTCCTAAAGATTTTAGTATGTGTTACAAAAGTGGGTTGTTTAAATGGAACTGAAAATAAATATTCCTTAAAAAAATTATTCTATCTATGTGGTTTTTGCAAGTACTTTTAATGGATCAACATCCTCCTGGATATTTTTATGCACTAATCAGTTTATTTAGAATTACTTACAACTCACTTGTCAGGTTCCCCAAATAATGTCTCTGAGCTATGATTCCTAATGCTTCTGTAGAAGGTCCTTTGGTAAAGAAGCTAACAGTAGGATCCACAAATGTATTATTTATTCACTTTTTAACCGTTCTTTAAAACTTACCTTAGTCATGATACGTATCTCTTTATCCCATGTTTTCCCTTTTACCTTGTATTTTTCCAGTTTGTTTATTGTACCCTTTTCCATCTATCTTTCATTTATATGGTAAGCTTTCTGACACAAGGCTTTGCCTTTTGTCATACTCAGCTTTGGAGGTCCCAGGCACTGCTGCTATACTAATAGTAATTGTAAGGCTAGTTATAGCCATCAGTAGACAGTTTCAGAAGTTTCATGTCTCCAGGTGAGCACAAAATCTGAAGTAATGTAAAAACAAGTGTCTGCATGGGTACATGTAATAAATAAAACTCTGCCTTTGAGATGTGGTGTGACAGAGGTCGTATTCTGTTAGGTCTATCTGCATAGCTGGAAATACTTTGGCCGATCTCTGGGACCAAATTAATCTACCATGCAGCTACATCTCATGACTCAGGCATTCTATAAAATCTTGAAATCACAGCAAATCAACAGGGATATAATTGACACAGTGTATCTAATTCCATTCAATTGTGTTTCTTCATCAAGTTGCTTCATAATAAAAACAAAATTCAGAATTGGACAAACTTAAATAAAAGGTGTGGCATGTCCAAAGGAAATCCCCTGCGAATTAATTTCTATACCATTAACTGTTAACTATAGTAGGCTTCCAGTTGAGATCAGATCTCACCTGTTTGTTGTTGAACAAACAGTGATACTGTTTTGACTAGGATGTAAT